GAAAGGAGGGAGGGAGGGAAGGGAAAGGGAAGGGAAAGGAGGGAGGGAGGAAGGGAGAGAAGGAGGGAGGGAAAGGAATGAGCCCTGCCAGGAGCCAGCAGCTCAAACCTGTAATCCTAGCTACTCAGGAGGTTGATATCTGGAAGATCAAGGCTCAACACCAGCTAAGGAAGAAATGTTTGCTAGTCTCCATCTCCAGAATCCAAGGCAGAGCTGGAGACATGGCTAAAGTAGTAAAGTGGCAGTCTAGCAAGTACAAGGTCTGAGTTCAAACTCTGTATCACCCAAACCCAAAATAAATCAGAAAGCCCATGATATGAATCTGAGCTGACATGAGCTGGCAGCAACGTGAGCGAATTCTTATGACAGGAATCTGGGCATTTTAGCTAGAATTTTACTCTGTCCGTCGCAGCAGTTAGCACAGTTTCTGTAATGGGCAGGTAGTATTTGTGGCTTGCGGCCCATCTAGTCTCCGATGCAACCTCCCAGCCTATGGTTGGGGCTGAGGTGTTGGTAAGCAATGGGTAAGAATGAAACAGAATGGCGCAGCTGCATTTCAGCAAAACTTCATTTACAGGGGTAGGAGGACATAGGTGTGACCTCCCCACTGTGGGTGGCCAGTGGCCAGTCTCTGCATTGTAGCACAGCTTTTCATCTTCCTCTCTAACACAGACCTGCGACATGAGAGGCTTAGACCACGGGGTCTTCACACCTCCTCCATGTCTCTCGGGGAGGGAGGGGCTACTCTCATTCTGTCTCTGGGCAAGACCATACGACTTGCTTTGGCCAATGGGACAACGGTAAAGATAGCACAAGCTATCTCTTGCTACTCCTGGCTTCTTGGATGCACCTCGCCATTAGCCCAGGTCAGTACATCTATTATCCCCATTCCCAGCGGCCAGAGAGCACTAACCACCACTCCTCACCAATTGCAGACATAGGAGTGAAGTAAGACCTCTGTGATGGACGACGGGGCCCTGGGCATTTCCCCAGGGGTGGCGGCCACATGTGAGGCTATGCAGGACCTGCGGAGGAACTCCGAGCAAAGCTCCGCCTACCTCGTCAACTAAGCCAAAAATATGACTGCTTTAAGTTTTGGATTAATTGTTCCACAGCAAAAGCTAACTGATACAAGCCATATTCATTATTTCCCAAAATATAAAGTGAGAGCCCGGCACCAGGGGCTCACACATGTAGTCCTAGCTACTCTGGAGGCTGACATCCAAGGCTCACAGTTCAAAGCCAGCTCAGGCAGGAAAGTCCATGGGACTCTCATCTCTATATAACCATGAAAAAGTCAGAAGTGGACTTGAGCCACATTCTTGAGCTGTGGGAATTTGTGAGCTCAAGAATGCTTCGTCTTGAGTGAAAAAGCTAAAGGACAGTGCCTGGGTCCTGAGTTCAAGTTCCCGAACTGGCACAATCAATCAAGCAATCAATCAATCAATAAAGTCAGAGGCAAACAAGGGGCAAACATTTTCAGAAACAGCCAAGAGAAGACAGAGGAATATGCTTAACAAATGCATTTCCGTTTTCAGGATCCTGTTGCCCACAGCAGCACCTCTGTGCCTTGCATCCCACAATGGTAGGATGGAGATCTCTCCTACCTGAGCAGACTTCTTTGTAAGTAGGATTGGTGGTGTAGCCTCCTGCAAAGCCCACTTGGGTCGAATACACGCCCTTCAAGGTCCAGAATTTCCTTTCAGCTCCCCAGAAGCAGCCCATTCCTGCAAAAAAGAAAAGCCAGTTATCCAAGACAAAGTACACTATACTTACAATGCCCATTAGCTAGATTCAGAGGTGTTCCTATCATCCAGAAATCACAAATGACTTCTATTTTCTGGCAAAGGAGAGTTTGAGAAATGTGAAACTTTGTTTTCATTGAAATGTGAAAACTTCGTTTTCATTGTATGCAAACATTGATACCCCCCGGGACTTAGTGGAACTAACAAATCCCAGCTTTCCCAGTAACACAATGAAAGGATAACTATTTCATGGATATTTTCACACTCAATTCATAACTTCAGTGAAAAGAAATGCATTTGATGATAAGCTTTCTAAGCTTTTCTAAGATGAATGGAGAGACTTCAAAATTATAGATTGATGCTATATTCCCAGTGGACATTTCCCATACAGATTCAGCTTCAAAATTTTATTTGTGTCCCTATGAATCTGAATGAGCTAAATCACTATCACCCTAAAGTATGTTCTCCTGAATCCTAGTATTGAATGAATCAATGAAATGGGTGTAAGGAAGGAGGGAGGAGAGGCAGGGAATAACAGAAAACAACCAACTTAGCACACACCATGTTGAGTGTAACTGGATCACTTCCACTATTCCATGAGCATCAAGATCTATCTCCCATGAATGCCCATACACACACACACACACACACACACACACACACACACACACACACACACACTGGAAATGTTGCATTTCAGTCTCCAAATACAGGACCTCCATTTTCTACCATAAGTTCATAACCTGTAGAATAACTTGCTATCCTGTGGCCATTTCTATAAGTAAGATTACTGCCTCAGTCCAGTTTTACATGACTTTACCAGGTCATGCATAACTTGGCCTCCTACTTCCTATGATCACTAGATTTACTGAATCTAATGATAAAGCTACATGAAGATTTACTTTGTGGACATTATCAGTATTTGTTTCTATTCTACTTTAAAAATTCATAGTAACAACCATAACCAAAAATGATGTATATGAAGCTACCCATTACACAGAAACTTTCTTTTTAATCAAGTATAATGGAAAATATACTTACCAAAAATAGGTTCATAATTGAAAAATATAAAAAGCAAAAATGTGATTCAGTGCAATAAAAAACATTACTGTGGTGTTAACATGGTAACCTGGAACATGTATATGACTATATCTTAATGACCCAAGACTAAATTAAAAAAGAAAAATACATATATACAATGATTATTATAACTACAAAGAAATATTCACATCAAAAGAGTAGAAGAAAATATATTAAAGTTATAAGCACAGTTGTCTCAGTGTCTAGAATACTTTTTCATTTTTCAAACATTTCTGTAATGGATTCCTATTCCTTTTAACCTGAAACAATGTATATTTTTAAACAAAGCAAAACTCCAAAACAATATAAGTATCTGTCTTACTTGAGTTGAACCTTGCTATATCATTGTCTCTGTTTAGAAGCAAATTGTTTGTTGTTGGTAAATATATTTACTGAGTATCTATGAAAATTGACTATCCCATATTTCTGACCAGAAGATTTGCTATTAATTTTTACTTCTCTGCCTTCCCTAGGATGAAGGAAAGACAAGAAAAAGCAGAGCAGCAAGGCTTAATGTTAACAGCCACCAGGGGCTAACAGCCTCCTTAGCAGTCTAAACCCCCTCCCGCCCCCCTCCCAAAGGTCAGAAATCTCTGGGGTTCCTTGAATGAAGTATTTCGTTTTTACAGTGATAGTACCAACAAGTACCACACTCTGAGGGCACCACACACAAGGGCCATGAGAGGCTCTTTGAGCAGCTAGTCTACCCTGCCTACAAGCCCAGACAAACCACCACAGATGAGCCAGGCCCTCCCCCTCAGCACAATGTGCTTCCTTTCTACACTCTACCACTTATCTAAAGTCTCACTTTCTGGAGTTTCAGTTTCTTATAAAAAATCATGACCAGAGCCAGGCACTGGTGGCTTACATCCATTATCCGAGCTTCTCAGGCGGCTGAGATCTGAGGATAGTGGTTCAAAGCCAGCCCGGGGAAGGAAAATCTGTGAGACTCCTATTTCCATTTAACCACCAGAAATGGCGCTGCGCTTCAAAGTGGTAGAGTGCTAGCTGTGAGCAAAAAGAGCTCAGGGACAGAGTCCAGGTCCAGAAACCACTAAATGGAAAATTCCAGAAGTAAACAATTCTTGGGTTTTAAATTGTCTGTCATTCTATGATGCTCTTTCTGGCGTGGGAATGAGGGTCTCTGTGTCCGGCATTTCCACCCTGTGTGCACTGCCTTCCCACTGAGCACGTAGCCCGGTCCCAGCTATCAGGTCCCCTGTGGCAGCGCTCCGTGCTGGTGCTCATGGAGCCGTTCTTTCCCTTCAGAGCGGCCATAATGCCTGAGAGCGGTGAGCTGGCAAGCTGGAGATGACCAAGAAGCACTACAGGGTGGTACATTGTTCCATACTATCCATCGCTGAGGCTCCACAGGGGGTCTGGGAACATCTTCCCCAAGGGGGCGCTACTAGGTAGACTTTTAAAACTTGGCATGTTCTTGGCCAGTTCTACTTGTAGGGAACACTTTACCCATAGTTAATTCCGTTTTAATATTTACTAGGGACAAAAAGTGGCCCCTGCGGGGAGCATGACCAGGCTCCAGCTGAGCAAAGGCCTTGGGAGTCACGCAGATGGGTGTAGGAAAGGGGACCCAGATGGAGAATTGTCCTGAAAGGTTCCCAAAGCAATCCGCAGCCCAAGGCTCCTCTTCTTAGCTTTCTCTAGAAGCAGTAAAATCTCAGAAGAAAACTAGGGTCCCCCTGGGTCACTCACTTCCCCAGGGGGAAAGAGAAAGCCACAGCATTGTCGGTGAACAGCCAGGCCTTTCAATTACAGGTTGTGAAACTAAGGCCCAAGCCGGAGAGCTCCCTGGGCTGGTTAAGATGCTAAGAGTTTTTATCAGAATAAGCAGCACCACTGTGAAGCCTGGAGGCATCATGTCACTCTAGACACGGGCATGAAAAGGACAGCTATGGGTCTCTTCCACGCGCTTAGCCCGTCCAAACCTGATTACCGCATCCCAGCTGCAGCTACACCGCTCAGCCTACATGATTTAGGTTCTTCCCCGAGCCTCCCATCCAGTGAGTCTGAGGAATGTCAGGTTTCCCTTTTCTCCCTTGGGGTGCCACACCGTCACTTAGACTTCATTTCTTCCTGGCTTGGATATAACATTCCTTCTTTGACTTTTGTAGTTCTCATCTATTTTCTCAACTGCAAATATCTTCCAGCACTACTTGGTATCCAATAGGTAAATATCAATAAATATTAAGTCCAGTAAAGCTGCAGGACATAAAAGCAGCATACAGAAATCTGTAATATTTCTATACATCAGTGATGAGCTAGATATAATATTTCTATATGTCAGTGATAAGCTAGATAAAAATGCAATCCTATTTACAAAGGCTACAAAAGAATAGAAATAAATTTAATCAAGGAAGCAATTGATTTCTACAAAACCAAAAACTGGAAAGACCTCATGATCACAAACTGGGAGAATTAATTACTTTTTTTTAAGGCTACCCAGCACAATCTACAGATTCAACACAAGATCCATCAAAATGCCAATGGCATTCTCCACGGAAGGAGAAAAAGCAACACTACCTTAACCACAAAAGACCTCTAATAGGCAAACCAGTCCTGGGCAACAAGGACAAGAAATCTGGAGGCATCACAATACCCACTATGAAAATGGTGGTGCAGGCCTATACTTCCAGCTACTCAGGAGGTGGCAGAAGAAGGATCATGGTCTGAGGGCAGGTCAGGAAAAAGTCTAAGAGCTTATCTGAAGAACAAACTAAAAAGCAGAAGGACTGGGAGGAGGGGTGAGGCTCAATGATAGAGCATTTGCCTAGGAAGCCTTGAATTCAACACTCCCAGAACTGAAAAAAATGTGTGTGCACATGTGTGTGTGCACATGTGTGTGTACATGCATGTATTTGCTACAAATACAAATATACATACCACCAAATTATACTAACCAAGAGAGCATAATACTGGACTCAAAACAAACATATAGACCAATGGAAGACAAGAGAGAACTCAGACATCAATCCATATATTTACAGTCAAATGATTTTTTTACAAAGAGACCATGAACATATAATGGAAAAACAATCTCTTTAATAACTGCTGATGGAAAAACTGGAAATCTCTATGAATAAACTGGACCCTTAGGTATCGCCATATAGAAAAAGCAGTTCAAATGGATTGAAGACAATGGAAGGCTGGGAGCTGCGACTCTACTCCGAGAAAAACAGGTTACTGTTGCAAGAAAGATTATTTTTTATAAGACCATGAAGGTGGAAAAAATGGAATGATACCAAACTAACTTCTCTGTAACAACAAAGGAAACAATCCAGCCAAATCAGTGAAGAAACAACCTGTACAACAGGTTGAGCTATTCATCCTATGATAAGGGATTAATATCCAAAATAATTAAGGAACAGGAGCAACTCAGTAGCAATAAAACCCAAATATGGAGATTAAAAACTATCCAAAAGAATTCAGAAAAACACTAAATACTGATCAGATTAAAAACTCAAAATTCAATCCCAATGGCTTGGCTGGGCAGAAGAGTGAAAGGACCGTGGGTAGCTCCATGAGGATTGCCCTCACCGGCCCTAAGCGCTGACTTCTACTTTAATTCACACTGCAGCCTTCCTTGGACCTAGCTCCATTTGGGGAGTTGAAAGTCACCTTGAGCTTGACTCAGTCCACCCCGCTGATCGCTACATAGGGCACAGACAGTTCCCGGATGCTCTACAAGAGCTGCATTTGTTTTCTAATGTTGCATCCATCCTCTTTTTTGTTTTTTTTTAACTGAAAAATAAAAATCACATATGTTTACAGTGCCCATTGTGTCTGATTGACATTTACATTATGGAATCACTGGGCCACGCTAACTAACATGTCCACTGTCCTGCGGTGATTTTGAAGTAACCGTCGATGGAGGACAGCCTCCA